AATATATAGTAACAATATATATATCCATATATATATACATATATATATATATATATCTATATATCTATATATACGTATATGTTTGTCTATTTCTGTATCTTTGTATGTATATATTCTAAAAGTAGGAATATAAATATATATACAATAATTTAGACGTGTATGCAAATAAATTTACGAGACGTAGGGTGAGACCTGAGTTCAGAAATAAATATGATCTAAAACCACATCAGTTGGTCGCTTCTATCTTTATTGTTTAACGCCATCGAATGATATATCAAGTCTTGAAGTACACATACTTGTGTGTAAGGATAGTTTTAAAGCAATCTACCACAGCGTGATGGTCTTCTCGGAATGGTTTGCAATTGACTAGTGTCAGAGTGTTTAATTATACTCTCACCTTCGCTTGTTGTCCACACGCACAGGCATGCTGTGCAGACACGTGAATGCGGTGGCATTGTAGACTCAGTAGGGGACGTGTTTGGGGCCAGTACATGCGATGTACACTCACTGCGCATCCTACAACTGCCCATAGTGCTCACAGGTGAGTCACCCACAAACTGTAGATGGGATGTGAATATTAGAATGTTTCAGTAGCATGAGTATTCAATGCAATTGTATTTGAGTCAAACTAGTGGTCATCATGAAACGTAAACGTGTGCTGCCTTTCACATAGTGCACGAGAGACTGCAATTATATCGTTCGCCAATGCAACGGTCCTGCTGCGAGTTCTCCTACTCTCTCACGGTGTAGTAAATGCCAGCTGGCATCAATTCTGCAACTACACGCTCATCCTAAAAAACCCTAAAACCGTTACAAAATTAATCCAATGCTATGTTTGTTCTGTCCACTTCTTCTGACAGCACCCAAATATCATCGAGATCTATGGTTTTTAATATATATTTCTTGTCATCTGTAAGTCGCTTGACTCATTCCACATTCATGTTCACAACGCCATACGGAATAGATTATCCATGCGATGATTCTCCAGTTGGATTGGGTACACAGCCCGGCACGGCTGCACAGACACCTGCGCGTGCGGATGACACGATGAACCAGGCTAGACCAGGTCTTGTATTAGCCTCTGCGGATTTAAATGAAGCAGAAGCAGAAGCGTGTGGTGACGGCGCAATAAGGGGCGCTTCTACAGAGGGTGACATCATCACTCAGAGTGAGGGTGACATCATTGCTCGGAATGAGGGTGATGCGATGCATGAGTCACGTGGTGTGGAGGTTGCAGTGGCATGTAAGAGTGATGGCGCATTGCGCATCGATCTTGAAGGCGGAGAGAACGTAGTGAAAGTGGATGGAGATGGATTGGCAGTGGCATACGTACCTGGCCATGATGCAGTGGGTGGTACAGAACCGGCCAGTACAAAACATGGGAGTAGCAATATGCAAGCAAACGCACAAATGTCTGATAGTGACTACGATATGGAACTGCTCTCGGATGGAGATGGGGATGAACAACCAAGTGTGGGGAAGCAGAGTGATTCGATTGAGGATTCGCAACACGGCTTAAAGATCCACCAACAGCACTCATCGCCCATTGATGCTGACGGTCGAGTTCATGTCGAGAGTGAGGGAAATGAGCGTGCAACTCACACACGGACGCAGGTGGAGTCAGTTGTCCCTGATGTCGGCCACAACGAGCGCTGGTCCATTCCGGAGGTCACTCACTCGCCACAAGGTACCACGTTGGACTCAACTGCTCAGCCCGGTGTCCCCAAGCGGAGGAAGGTATTCATATTCCGATTCTCAGTGTGGTTTTGCAGCGGTTCTAAGCACTTGTATGTATCGCACATGATATCTGTATGCAACGACCCCAAAACCCAATCACGTTGATTATTTTCATTTTGTTTATGATGCTGGTGATAGTTTCTAGTCGCTTCTCCTTTCCTCGGCTGTTCTTTCGCAAGCGTAGTTCTCCCAGATCCTTCCAGTGATTTTGCCGTGTGATGTTCATACCAATGGTGTATGCTATTCTATGGCTGTTTTTGCAGATTGCGGATAGCCGTTCTGATTTTGGCGCTCACATTCTGGGATCCACATCCGTTGACGAGAGCGTTTCCCAATGCGTGACCGAACAGTTGAAAGAAGCATTTAGCAAGGATCCGCAAGCTGTGCCTGCCTATGCGCAGACGAGTCCTTCTGTTGCCCAATCAGCGCCACCACAAACGCTTACAAAGACGTCGTTAACGCCTCTACCCTCAGGTATTGATAGCGTTCGAATATCGTATTTACTCGGTAAACTTTTGTGGAAAAAACACATTATATTTTAAATTGTACTTTTGAATACAATATACACGGTCGAACGAAGCAGAAACGACGTAATTGTATATTTTAAGCTCCAACAAGCAGTACATTTTGTGCGAAACGTTTGCCAATTGCTGTGTGAAATTCGCTACAAAGGAGCTCATCGGTGGAACATCTAATGCCCTACACAGTTGTACTGTTGTATTGATTGTACAAACGAATGGGATATGTAGCGACCGCAATCCATTCGATGATGTACTTTTTACGTGATGTCCGTCATCAATATCCGTGTGTATCACATGCATTGTGTACATATGCGGTGTTTCATATGTGATTTCTGCCGTCAATATCTGTGCGTATCACAACCTGTGACACTATTGATTTACGGTTGCAGTTGGTTAGTCCTGTGTGAATGTCCTATTGTACCTAATAGTATACTACGCTTCAACGGTGGTGACGTGCGATAGTCCAGGCCTCAATCTGTATTTTTTTTGTCGCGATTACGCATACAGCTGACACGTCACACACAGTCGATAACATCGCAAGCGAAGGACTGAAAAGCTCATTCGCCAAACCTCCGAGTGCCACTCCCGCTCATCAGCCAGCCCCAGTGACCACTGTGAATCAACAGCTAACTGCCGAGAATGCGACTCTCGCTAAGAAGAAGGTATACATCCAAGAGAGAGAGATATATATATATATATATGTATGTATGTATGTATGTATGGAAGTAAGTATGTATGTATGTATGTATGCATGTACGTACGTATATATGTATATATATATATATATATATATATATATATATATATATATGTGTGTGTGTGTGTGTGTGTGTTGTTGTTGTATGTGTTGTTGTTAGTTTAGTTATTAGTTAGTT